ACGAAACACAAGGAGAGCACAGTGCTCGAAAGCCCTGCGCAAACAGGCGGTCTGGGGCGAGGAAAAGGATCAGAAAGAGTATGGAAGGGGGCTAGCGCCCCAGGAACTTATATGGATAAGAGACTGTAGGATAGCTAACGGCCTCAAGTCCACGGATAATGGTCTGTCATAGCTCTAGGGCTCGGTATGGACAATAAACTTGATTAAATAATAATAATAATATCCATACAGGCTCCTATGAGCAAGTCAAAAAAAGTCTCAGTAATCAGTGTAGTCTAAATATTTATAAGCCTCCCCAGTCGTACAGGCGTGTAGGAGCGGCCAAATCTAGTTTATTTCCCCAGTATTCCACACCTTCCACGGAATAGTTCTCTGGCATATACTTGGATATATTGAAGTATTTCAGCAGACTCTCCCTTTTCAGCGTTTTGCCGGAAGCTGTTAATGGGACTCTCTCATCTTTTTGGAGAACCCGTACGAGCGTAGGTAACTTGTATGAGGCCATATTATTGGTAGCAAGGTCCGCACGTATTTTCTGAAGAGAGATATTGCAATATTGTTTTCGAACTCGCAAAAGTGCAGCCACCAATCCACCAGCTTCATGATCGCGCACTGGGAGAACATGGGCCTCGGATATATATGGAAGATCCATCAGTCGTTGCTCGAGCTCTATAACGTGAATCGTATATTCATGAAACCGAATCCCTTCAAATGGTGTCTTTTAGTTGGGCACCGATACAAGGACAATGGGTAATAGATAGAAACATACAGTCACATGAAGCTCTGCCATCAAAATAGTACTTATCACCAATGCGATGAGCACAATCTCCTGTTTTGTAAAACCCTTCATTGTCAAATGCAGCACGTGTGGCTGCTTCATCATCAATATAGCTGGTGCCAACTGTAAGCAAGGAGCATCACAAAAACAAAAAGAAATAAGGATCGATGTTCTTACTGGGTGAACATGCGGGGGCTTTTGGCCAGAACTTCTCCCTGGTCACCATCGGAGAGTTTGACTGACACTTCCGGTAGAGGCGTACCAATATAACCCTGCGTAATGACTGGTAAGAAATATGGAGGGAAAGTAGAATCAGATACTCACTTCCTCAAGAGCTGAATCAGCCGGAGTGACCGTCACACCTCCGCCCATCTCAGTCAGTCCGTACCCATTTCTAATTGGCACATTGGCTATATCCGTAAAGAATCTCCGAGTGGAAGGACTAAGCACCGAACCGCTTGAAAACACTGTTTGTAACTTTTGAGCTCCGCTGATATACTTGCCACGCTCATCAGGTGCAATATCACAGATTTTCTCATTGTAGTATTCCATCAACTCCCTTAGAAGTGTTGGCGACATGCTCATGTCCGTTACTTTGCCCTCCCTCAAAACGTCCCAGAACATTGCCGGTCCAGACCCATTCTTCATCATATGTAGTCTTTCTCCGGTAAGTACACTGTCCAAAACACCTGTACCTCCAATCCAATGCGAGGGAGTGGATGCTAGATAGAGGACTTCTTGGGGAGCTGTCTGGCCCTCGAAATAAAATAGCTTCCGGGGGAGAACTACGCCTTTTGGCAACGCAGTCGTCCCTGATGTAAACAGAACCAGGCATCCACAGGTTGGAGAGAACGTCAATTCCTCATTTATCTCCAATTTGGGAGGACATAAGCTTGCTTCCAACTTGGCTCTTGTTATCGGAATCAAGTCCAATTTCTGGCCGGCCTGAGCTTGTGCATAGCCTCGAATTGCCATGACCTTTTCGGAAGTACTCTCCTCTGTTAGGATGTAGGTTGCCTTGGCTTTATTCAGAAAGTACAGCGCTTCTTCCGGACTAAGGCCCGTTGCTATGATCGGTTTATTTTAGTATTTCTGGACTGCCTTGGATAGACTTGTTGACTCACCCAATGGTACACACACACCTCCCAAAGCTGCAATAGCCAGAAAGCTCACAATGAAATAGTATTGACTGGTTGCAAGAAACGCCACCGAGGTAGCATTATTTTGAAGACAGCCTTGCCCATTGAAAGAAGTACTTGGCAAAACCTCTCGCAGGACCTGACGCAGGTGTATGACATCGCTGATCACGTCGGTATAGCCGGCATTGATGCCATATTCATCATGGAATAGCACACCGGGCAGCTCCGTGGCGAGTCGACGAAGTTGAATGAACAGGGGATCATTCGGAAACCCGTCGCTCTGGAAACCATGCATTTTTTTTCTTTTTCGCTGTTATTGTGTAATTTGGTGCAGAGACAGCGGACCAAAGCAATAAGGCGAAATAGCAAATGAATATGTATCTCATTACGGAGTAGTTGAACAACCTCTCTATTTATAGCTATGGCAACTGCTAGATCAGACTTCTCGGTTCGTATTTTCAGGTGCGAATCTCCGCCGCGATGGAGGACCTTTTTCAGCTGAATGAACAGCACCGATTGGAATAATTAGACAGGTATAATCTCAATCATCGAGAGTAGTGGGTCGGTTTAGATTACGTTTCGCGTGGAGCTGAACAGGCAACCTGAAAAGAAGTCCGGAGTCCGTACGGAGTACTAAAGTCATGAATCTGGCCAGATCTAGAGTATTCTGGGTTGTTTTGAGCTCTTGCAATATGCTGTACAATTATTTTTTTTTAGGTCATAATATCAATACTTTTTATTTGAAGTCTTTCCTTCTATCTTGAAGCATTGAAGCTACCTATACAATGCTACGTTCTCTTCATACATCCACAGCCAGCAAGCTGACCAAACCATTCGGTATGCCAATATACCCATTTCTCAATTGCTAAAGCTAACCTACGACACTCAATATACGTCATCAGTCCCCTTCCTCACCGTCCCAAATCCAAGCCACGCCTCCCAGCAAAACCACCTACGCACGGTGAACCGCATCCTCCAAAATGAAGGCATTCTCCGTATGCAACTCAGTTTTGCAGATGACGAGAGCAAATACATTCAAAAGCTCTTATTAAACCTGCACAGACACCATGGCCATGGTCTCCCAATCACCCACAGTGCAAACCGTGGGTGGATGTGGGATATTCGACCATCTCCAGATTCCTTCCAGAGTAACAATCACCAGGCGCGATCAGAAACAATGGAGAGGTTTCCCTGGCATACAGATTGCAGTTACGAGCTTGAGCCACCGCGGTTTTTTGCCCTGCAGGTTCTTCAGCCAGATAGGTGTGGCGGTGGGACATTATCTGTGCTCAACGTTGACCAACTCTTGACTCTGCTATCTCCCTTTGCCAGGAAATGGCTCTTCACACCTAATTATCGAATTATCGTCCCACCAGAGTTCATCAAGAGTCCAGAGACTAAGGCTATTAGGGGTAATCTTCTCGCCACAAATCCTAATGGCAAGTCAACTCAACTCCGATTCAGAGAGGATATTGTCACCCCGTTATGTCAAGAGGCAGCAGAGGCATTAGCGGAGCTGAAGAGTGTTCTTTTGGGCCCTGATGCTAAACGGCAGATTCTCAATCTTACTCCGGCACTGTTACCTCGAGGATCGATTATTCTCATGGATAATGGACGGTGGCTACATGCGCGCAATGAAGTCAAGGATCCAAATCGACATTTGCGACGGGTACGCTGGGATGCACGACAGTTTGTTATCCCTACAGCCCAGTTGGGTCTATGAGTCCTTTTGTTTATCTTCCCTCTTGGTTAAGTTTTAATGTGTCAATCTATTACATTCTTTGGACCAGCTCGCATGCCTAGCACGTAGTACTACTTCGCAGATTCTTTTTTTATTTTTTTTTTAGGAAAAAAGAAAAGTGCAGCTGAAGATGCCATTGATCAATGCCAATTATTCTATTTATAGTTCAAGAAGGGAAGAAGTAAAGGAATGACATTTCAAAAGACATGTCATGTAGTACGACATGAGCTGAGCTGGATGGGCTGGCTGAAGATCTTGAGCATCCAGCAAAAGTCCGTGGCCATCCCACATCTATGCCGATAATACTAGGGCGACAGAAACTTAAATATGTGACAATTACCGATGACCCACTCGGGGCGAATTCGAGCACCTATTCTCTCTTGTATATTATTGTAAACCCCCGATATAATGCAATAATATGACCCCAGCGAGATCGTATTCGATCAGTAGCCTAAACGGCGATCTCAGAAAATTCTGACTCGTATCATATTCCTGTATAGCCAATTATTTGTCGAAAGCTCACATGCTACTATATAGTTATGCTAACTATTGTACGAATTATTTACTCCAAAACCGAACACATCCAAGCACCACCCTGGCTAAGCGCACAAATTCGGCCCGGACCGCTTCGCCAAAGTCCCAGTCCCAACAATTCCCCGTGGACCATGTGGAAGGTTCCAATAAGGGGAAACTCTTTCACGCCGTCGTTCTCTCGTAGCCGGACCTCATAGGTGTTTTGCTCGATCGCGCGCTGGACAACGTATGTCGTATCTGCAGTCAGCTGGGGGGACCGCATGAGTCGTAGTTTCGATGTCCACTTGTTGCTGGTCAGCAGGTCGCCAAAGAGAATGCCTGCGCCCTTGCCTCCGCGGACCGGCTTGAGGATGTAGCCGTCTTTGAGGTTGGGGGTTTCACTGCATCGAGCTATGAATTGGTCTAGCTTTGTAGATCCAGGGATGATGGTTGGGACAATGCCTCGATCGAGGATACCTGCTTGGTCTGATGTGAGCACATTCCGAGCTACCAGAGAGTCGAGTTCTTCGAGGACAATTCCTAGCATTCTCTTGTCGTGGACGAGAAGAATGGTGCGGAGGTCATTGAAACAACGCAGGCCAATCTCCCGCAGCATTTCCAAGCTCAGAGACATCAGCTCGCCCTGGTGCAACTCGAGTCCAATCTGATGAACCTCCTCCAGAGTCTCGCCAGACCCATTCAAAAATGTTGGGCCTTCCGCGTCCTTGGCCAAACAGCACAACTTGTAACCGCCCGGAGACTCAGATGGAATTAATCTCAAATCATCCTGATGGATAATATGCGGTCGAATTCCCAAGTGCTGTTCCGCATAATACATGAACAGATGAATGTCGAATCCATATTCATATCCCTTAACCAAATGGAGTGGAAGACCAGGGTTATATAAACGACCCAAACCATCCATAACCTACAACATTAACATGTCATCATATAGGGGGCGAATTATGTAGTAGTAGTACCTTTTGCGGCTCAGTAGCTCCCTTAAGCCCATTAAGCCCAACACCCATGTTAAGAAGAGACTGTTGTCCCCATGCCGTAAAGATGAAGCCATTCCAACAGAAACGAGCATTTATTTCACAGATGCGATAGTTTTCAATCCCTTCTGAATCTGTTTGTGATGACTCAACCAAAAAGTCCGGTCTCCATGACCCGGAGCATGTTTTGAATGGACGTACATTGGCCATGCACTACTTCATTAGCTAGGTATAACTAACTCTGTGAAAGGTACTCACTCGCAATAGTTTCTCCTCAGTAGGTCCCACGGGCATTCGCTCTGGAAACCGTGCCTCGACGTCTATCCACCATCTCTCAACAATGTCAGAAATAGCCAAAAACAAAGCATCGCTGAGCTCAGCCAGTTGTCGTTGGTGTTTCTCCGTAACCAAAACTGGATGAGGAGAACCGCTCAAGTAGGCATTACCAGGCCATGTATGAGCAGGACTGCACTGAATTAGGTTGAAATGAAATGCCTCGACGAGAGATTTGTGAGTTATTGAATCGATGTTGGCAGGAGGGACAAAGCCATTGCTTTCTTTGCCCTCAAGGCTGATACTTTGGAGTCGGGTTACCGGTTTCTTCATTGTGTAAGAATATGGTAGAAATGCGATGATGAAGTCAAATCTCTAATGGTTCTAGGCTTTATAAAATGTCTCAATCGAGCTCCATAGTTTTTTCAATGGGGCCGTGTATGGAGCACTTAATTAATACACACTGTGGCTGAGCGGAAGCAAGCTGAAGAAAGCTAAAGCAAGCTGAAGCAAGCGAAAGAAAGTCCGTATTATTGCCGAAATGACCCACTGCTAGTACTAGACTACTGATCATGGAAATGGGACCATTAAATTTATTCTCCAAAGCACCTTGACTGGATTAAAGTACATATTTACATACATACTCGGTACATTGATAGTATCCCATTTCATTCTAGTTTGTTTAACAACATTGTGGCTACCATGACCCCAGGTTATTATTATTACTCTTTGGAAGATGTCTTGACCATCGCCAGCGTCCATCCTTTCTATTCCGATTCGATGTATCCACCGACGCGTGAGGAATTGCCAACTGTCCTTGAAAATGCCAAACAGAGCGCATATGGGTTGAAGCTAGCATCATTTCCATTGACCAGAAAGGATACTTTGTATGACCTACCTCTCTATTCCTCAAAGCGTTACTAATTGACTATAGATACAAACAAATTGCCCGACTTACCATCGACACCAGTCCTCGCAATGGCTACCGACAAGACACCTACATTAGCACAACTGGCGGTGGCTCAGGAGGACCCCCCATGGTATTTGCCACGGACTCAATCGAGACGCGCCAGCAGAGAGCAATGCTTGGATTGATGCTGAAGATATGTGGAATTATCGAGCCAGGGGACTGGGTGTTGACCATGCATAACGCGGGCTACTTTTACAGGTATGTCCCTATTAGGTGCTTATGTATACAACTCTAACAAATATAGAGCCTTAGATCTCATGTCGGAGGTCTTTGAAAGTGCCGGCGCAGCAGTCCTCTGCGCTGGTCCCGACATGCATCATCATGATATTGTAGATGCAATTGCACAGTTTCGCGTTAATACCATATCCGGTGATGTCGGCCACTTGATCCAACTGGCCAAGTATGTCGCAACCCTTTCAGAAGAAAAGAGAAAGTCACTCCATGTTACAAAAGCCCTCTATACCTCTGAAGCTATCACCCCCGCCCAACGAAGCTTTCTGTTCTCTGTGTTCGGGGATATTGCACTGAGTTCAGTGATTGGAAGCGCAGAAGCAGGACCATGGGCTGTTTCCAGCCCTGAGCAGACCGCAACGACTGTTTATGAGAACTATGCAGACTTCATCTTTGATGATCGCTTGATTCATCTCGAGGTACTTCCTTTCTCCATTGAGGAGTCTGACGAGAGAGGGAATAGTGGAGACATTGCAACCGTCCCCAACGGTGAGAAAGGTCTCCTTGTACAAACTTCATTGCAACGACTGCGGAATCCTTTACTCCGCTACATCTGTGGTGATGTTGCGTCCCTCCATCCATTGCCAAACACAATCAGAGCAAAACTCCCCATGGAAATTTTGCCGCATTACCATGTCATCCGCATCTACGGCCGTGATCGTCGGATCAGCTTCGACTGGTACGGTGAATACTTCCAATTCCAAACCCTCCAGACTCTCATGCGAATTGAATCATGGGGAATCCTCCAATACCAGGTTATCCTACGCCGCAAAGATAACGATCAAGACAACGTGGACACATTCCTTGAAGTTCGTATCTTGCGAAACACAGGCGGTGAAACTATTAGCCAGGAGGAACTCACCCGTGAAATAAGACATTTTTTCATGGTGTTTGAGAACAATGAACATCTATTTGAATTGAGGTTTCTGGCTGATCATGAGGGGTTCTTACGTAGTACGACAGGGAGGAAGGTGATTAATTTTCTTGATTTGTGCAAATGAGGGATGTTACTACTTTTATTATTTGATCAAGTTTATTGTCCGTATTGGGCCCTGAAGCTATGACAGATTATATTCCATAAACCCAAGATCAACAGATAGCCTGCAGTCTATTGTCCATGTGAGTTCCTGAGGTAAAATTCCTTCTTTCATCTTCCGATCCTTTTCCTCGCCCCAAACTGCCTGTAAGTGCAAGGCTTTTGAGTCTCAGGAGAGTTCTCTCCTTGTGTTTTCGAGGCAGGATGGGCATGGCCTAAGCTGAACCTCAGCTTAGGCTACTTTTCCCCTGCTACATTTCTTCTGTTCCATTTGCCTTCAATGTTTCTAGTACACATTCCTCGTCTTTCCGGGCTCTTTCTGCCGCCCGCTGTAGATTCCCCCGGCCCCCGGCGTACGGGTAAGCTACACTGGTGCTGGCCAGAAACTGTAGCAGCGCATTAGTAGCTCTGAGCTCTCCTAGGAATAGTCCTTAGAGAGTTTATTTCTTTAGTATCGCCATTGTTGGTATTCAAAGGGAAGGTGATGTACTGCTTCCCTTGAAGACCCACATCCTTGACAGGCTGCATCTTCCTGTGCCTGAAACCATAGTAAATGTGCTCCAATGGCTGCGTGTCCTAACTTCAATTGAAAATAATGGCCTTCAAAGTATTTGGAATCCACTGCAGCCAATGATTCAAGCAGTCAGTTTCTCTATGGCCTACAGGTTCGTCAGCCCTCTTAGGATCGCTGGCCAAGCTCCTTCTGGTTCTTGCTATACCAGTCCTGCTCCGCACTTTGTATTCTCTAACTTTGAGCCATCTGACCAGATTGTCAGTCCAGGGAGAAGGGCTTGCGCGGCTGCTAGAGCCTCCGGACTGGGAAAGACTTTTACTAGGCCCAGGGGCCGGCTATTGGTCATGTTTACCGTGCGTTCAAAGCCTTCAGAAAAGTCCGCTGGTAAAACATTGGCTAGTTGTCGAGTTAGATGCTGTCTCAGGGACCATGGACTCCGTTTACCGTTCTCATCCCATTGCCGACTCCCTGGGGTCTGCTCCTACGGCTGAGCTTAATGGTCCCCTTCTCGAAGGTTCACTGGGAGGATCTTCTTAGCCGGGTGGGTTTCCGGTGAGCCGAGTGGCTACTTAGCAATCTTTCTACCATTAAACTGCATACTTCTGTCAACGTTTCTCGTGCTGGATTTATCACACGCACTTAGAGAACAGGTACAGGTTACACATACTATTCGGGCATTCATGTATTTTATGCTCCATATGCATGGCTTGCTTGCGTATTCAGATACTCCATGTGCACAATCCATGATGGAAGGATCCGGTCTGACTCACAAGATGCTTACTATACAACGTACAACAAAAGGTAGTATTAAGTGGCAAGCTGTACAGATAGGGTTTATTATGAGAGTGATAAAACATAATCACTCTTTGCTCATTGTTTGAGACACCGTAATGGTTTAATGAGTGCTTAGCCATCCAAGGCGTATGGCTATGGCGTCTCCTATACAGAATCGGTCGGCTTCGATATTCAGAAGCACTGTTTCGTTTTGCATGGCCCTGCTCACTCACTCATCACTCAACACTCGCCCTTGACTCTAAGGGCATGATATGACCTCAATCACTTGCACCCAACTAGAGCTCACCCAGCTATCACCCTTGATGTTGACTCCCGTATATGATCGGACCGTTGATATGTCGGCCGCACCGATTGATCAGTTAGGGAAATCGGGCAATTCTCCCGATTCGCCAATACTAATCAGAGCCCTACTTTCCAACCTATCTACAACATACACTCTATCAATATAACTATGACGGTGTATGTAGGATTGGGGAACTATGGCTATGCGGCCAGCATCCTTTGAATATGGTCAACGCATACGTACATTATGCACTTTGCATTCCTTTTGTTTCTCTGAGCTTCTTTCGCAATTATTTCCTTTAGTAACTAGCTGATGGCCGCCAGACTGTACATAAAAAGTCCTATGATTGAGAGTTTTTTCAACCAGAGTTGTTCCTTCATTCCCACCAGATAGTGCCTGAGAAATCCTACTGAGTATAGTGGTTGATGTCACGGAGTACAGGCATTCACCAACAACGCAAGATGTTTGTATACTTTGGCCTGTTTGAATATAGGGCAGGAACCCCCTCTGCACACTAGATAGCGCAGCGCTGGTAGGCCCAGCTTTTTTCTTTCCTTCTCCATGTTAGTACTTCGATAAAAAGTCTACCAATAAATTTATATTGTTCGAGACCATCACGATTGACACAAATCAAGAGGCAGGAAGAGAATAAATAGCCTTGCAAAATGATCAAAATTAAAGACCTGCACGAGTGTTCGTTTGCCGTGCTAGGAGTAATCATCAAATTACACTAATTTGCCACTATTTTGCAAATCCAAGTTGCGGCTTCTGCAACCACTTTCCACGTCGTGTGACGGCTTCACGTCGCCCATATGGTTCGATGCTGCGTATAAGACTAGTAATGACAAACGACCTTAGCATGGTCAATGCCCTGTTGTGTAGTGATTATATGAGCCTCCTTCATCCCCTAGGTAGGCTTCCTTTTCTTTTTCTTTTTCTTTTCTTTCTAGATTCGATATTCTCGTCGATGGCTACAATAGTTTAGATGGGGATCTAGTTCGTTAGTATTTACTATTCCGGGCCCGTAACACCTACCAATCAATGATTTTTATAAAGTCTTTCGTTGCCTAGTTCTGCTTCTGGCCTCACTAGCCCGGCTAGGGGTCCTGTTGGACCCTCCAGTGGCTAACGCTTCTAGCCTTCCTTTTCATCTATACTTATAATCTTCGCGCTGCTATCACTAAGTATAGGCTGCATCATGTCCCTGGATCGCCAACGGATTGGCGTAGGGGTGTCTGGCATAGCCAGTGTTTCTACAAGCTGGGAGACCACGTTGCCTGCTCTGGAGGGAGATGCGTGCGATACACCACCACCTGTCACAGGCTGCACCTGTTGCATAAGCGGTATGTTTAGTCGGGCGGAGACGTTATCGAACAGAGAGATTATCAGAGTGGCTGTCTTACCTGCACTGCGCGCACATGTATATAGAACGACTTGACCGGGCCTTCGTCCTCTCTTGAAAGAGATCTTTTGTACCAAAGAAAGCCATTTGCGTTCCGGACCTAGCACTTAACACTGCAATACGGTCTCAGCGCCTCCAAGACAGTCTGTAGGGACCTGAGGGCCTCTATTAGTCGATTGATGCGTGAAAAAGACGTTTCTTCTTGGGTGCTGATTTTGATGTTCCAGGCACCAAACTTCCGACTTAGTTTTTCCGCAGTGGGTCTATACCTCGTATACAATAAAGGGGCAGAGGTGAAAGCAGTGAAGATTCATTACTAAATTTGGCTTTTTGCAATTTGACCTCCATAGTTTGTCGTACCCTATCATTAACAGATTGATATCTGTTGAATCACTGCACCCGCTTCTTCAACACATCAATTGCCGGGCCGCACTGTATCTCTCCACCATTTGATGATCAGCCCGGGTGCCCATAGATCAGCCTCTTCATCTGACTCTCAAGTTGTTGTTACGTTGACTTTTGTGTATTACCCATTATGGGTAACAGATCGACAAGAAAGTGATGTTTGCCAATGTAGCCCCGAGCACAAAGTCCATTTATTAATGAGTTAATGGTTCCTCAATTTCACCAGGTTCTCTGCTTTTCTCGCTTCTATTGATTGACCTGCAAAATTCAACATTTTCCAAACTTTATATCCCCCCTTCTGTCCTATGTTCCCCTACACCTTGGGTAATATACTCCGCGCACGTCTTCTACCATTAATCAACTTTGGTCTATTCTTTCCCCCTTTCTTCCTTCATCACCATGTCTGAATGGGGTCCACCGTACGGATTCGCAATACGCAGAAATGGCTCCTGCCTGCAAGAAGAAAACTACTGTGTTCAAGCATGGAATTTAACATTAACATCAGAAGATTTCTACCGATGCTGTCCCGGCGGGGAAACCTACTGCAGCGCTGAACACCCAGGCCTGTGTTGTCCAGATAAAGCAGACTGTAAACGGCTAATCAGTAACCCGGCACACTGCGCCAACGAAACTTGGAATCTTTATGAAAATGATGAGGACGGCGGATACTTCTGTTGTGAGCAAGGAACAACTGGGTTTATTCGCAAGAATGTGGGAGTTGGGTGTGCGAAAAAAGGTGATCTTTCGGTTTCCAATACGGAATTGCTGGTGGCAGTTTCTTCTGGTAAGATGCATATCCTTCTTACTCCGTATGAGCCGAGTTCTGATATAACTAGGTGTTGTTGCAACATCGTCTAGCTCATCTACTTCAAATACAGGCGCCATCGCAGGTGGTGTAGTTGGTGGAGTTGCTGTGTTAGCGATCATTCTCGCCTTGTTTTGGTATTTCATGCGTCGCCGCTCACAGAAGCAACCACCTCAAGTGGAAACGCCCATCACGGAAGCACCAACGATACAACCTGGCCCTGTCCAGCCCGCGGACAAACCAAGCGAGTTGGATGGCCAAGATTATGTGGCAGAGCTGGGAAATACTGCTGTCCACGAGTTGCCGGAAAATCTAAGGACCCGATGAAAAGCCATGGCCTGCGTTTTGATATCCTTTGATAAAGCCCCTAGATCAATATTTTATATTTGTATATGGCATACTCCCGGCACTCCGGCTATTGATAATCTTTGCTCATATCCTTTCTCCCTCCTGCCATACCTTCCTTCTGGTGATCCCATCATCTATCATTTAACTTCTTCACACACAGCTTTCGTATCGTCCTCGATGAGCCTGGATGACATAGAAAGAGTACAATATAACTTTCAAAATAAGGTAGACAATCATAAATTTGCAAGCATGCAACGTCTGGCTCAAAAGTCTTAAATAGTGTCCTAGCGTCTGCATTGATGGAAGCCGGATCTGCTTGGGATTATTCAAGCAACCAAAACATCTCTTGGCGTCTGAGACTAGTTAGTCATGCCAAGGGACACTCGAGGGCCAAGACGGCATGATTACCCAGGCAATTTCACCCCACGGGATTGGGACCACGGTTCTCGTCATTTGTGCCCTGGTCAAGGCACCTCATCACTGGTAGTCTAATAGCTGGGTTTATAGTACAGTGTGGCCCTGTCTTATTGGGGCCATATTATAAAAAAGCGTGAAATTGTGCTGATTAGAGCATCATCTACTCTTACACCTATATTTTTTCATGTAAATCACCCCCTAACTGGGAAGGGTTGAGGCGGGTTTGACCCAATCCGCCCATAGGGACCCTGAAACGCAACCGAGGCGGATTCCCAAGGCGGATTGTGCATGTGATGGTCTCAAACCATATAAGTCTATCGGTAGACTGTTTAGCAGAATACTAACATAAAGGAAGGAAGATACTGGGCCTGCCAGCGCTGCGCTATCTAGTGTGCGAAGGGTGTTCCTGCTTTATATTCAAACAGGCCAAAGTAGTCAAGCATCTTGCGTTATGGGTGAGTTCCCGCGTTCCGTGGAATGCATGTACAGTTGCTAGCTGGATTTCTTCAGTAAATAGATCCTAACGCATTGCAGGAATGAAAGTTGAAGCAAAGATTCGTAGGGACTGGAGGAAAGTCAATGAATGCCCTGGCAATTATATATATGTTGAATACGCTCTCCACTGCGGTAGCACTGTGGGAATTTCTGCCCCGCCTGCAGGCTCCCACAGCAACTGTCACGGGCTCAACTAAAAGCTAACGAAGATAGCTTAATTAGCCTAATAGGCAGCGATAAACGAGAATCTTCATACTGGAGAGAAGAAGAAGAAGAAACTAAATATCACGTAGACCTCTGCAAGCCCGCGGGCCCTTGGTGGGCAGCCCACGGGCTCTTTTGATAAGGGATAACGTTGGACCCATTAGGCAAGTTCCACCGACCCGATATATAGCCAACGTGTACACACATTTTAGATAGACAAGCACTCAACCAGCTGTGTGTGTATACGCATTAATAGGCAATATACTTCTCTCGTTAAAATTGGACCTCTCTGTATACGACCTCGTTAGTCGCGGATAATCGACTCCGGACCTCCGGCCCCCCGATCCCCATTTCATCTTTAAAGCAAAGAATGAAGAGCTACGTGACTTGCAAAGAGATATGTAATCTCAATCGTCTTCTTACAACAGTAGAGAAAGTTGGAGATTGATCAGAGTACATTCATTCTATAGTAATTTAACTGCAAAGCTAGGTTGAGAATCTCCGTGACCAAGAGGCCAAGTTTTCAACAGATAATAGCGGATTTGCTGTCTATCAAAGTCCTGCGAAGGAGAAACAATTCACCGATTGTCTCGGATGATGACAGGCTACTACGCCGAAGTTGAGGAGCTTCCCAGAGAAATTGCCGGGCATCAAGAAAGTTATCATATTCGATTACACGATTAGGTGGAGGGAGAAAACGTCTCCACACGCTCCTGTCCAACAGGTTCATGCTGACCAAACGCCCTATGCTGCTGAACTCCGAGTGTGTCGCCGTCTCCCACTGAACAAGGCAGATGACTTGTCAAAGGGACGGTATCAAATAATCGACGTCTAGCGCCCTATTCAAGATCTCGCGTCTGACTTTGGCTATTATTGATTGGCGAACCACCGCCCCTTCTGATCTTGTCAAGATCGATCTTCTCTATCCAAAGGGCGCCAAAGCAGGAGAAGAGAGGGCCCAAGCGCCCGACTCTGAACACTTGACTGACGGTTACGAGGTTAGAGGGGAAACGTATCCTATTGCTCCAAATGAAAAACACCGCCTCTACTACCAAACGGATACGACACCAGAGGAGGCCATGTTCATCAAATGTTTTGACTCACGAATCGAATCCATGACCGGGACAATGGGAATCGCCCATGGGGCAGGTCATACAGCCTTTTGCGATCCCCAGACATCAAAAGATGCGCCAGCAAGGCAAAACATCGAGGTTAGATGTCTGGTTTTTTATGAGTCATAAATCGATTGTGTACTGGAGAAAATGTCGGTAGACCAAAACAAAAGGCTCCATCAAAAAAATCATGTGGATTTGAACAGAAATCAGACAACACTCAGAAGGACCAAGGATGCCGTGGCTGACCGTGGAGTGGTTGTGGTCGATGGCAAAGAGCGCCTTGAATCCCTAGAGATGCCTATATTTAGCCATAATTCGTGTAACCGCATTGTGGCCGGCACCTCTCTTGTAGCGAGGAAAATTATGAACAAGCATGGCGGCATGCTATCGATTCCCATGGGACACAAGTGGGAAATAACCCCTGCTGCAATGTATTTGTGGCATTTTAACGCTAGTATAAGCTAGGCTGTTTACTAATCATTCAATATCTTTTCCATCGCTTTCTCCCATACTATCATTGTAAGATAGGGTTGCTGCATATCTAGCATCTTGAAAAGACTGATTAGAGGTAGTCCGGTTAGTCTATCACTGGTCAATAACAGTCAGGCTATATACACTAAAGGCAGCCACTCCCAAGCCGTATACAGGAATGATCCTTGAATATAAATTGAACTTATACCCCCAAATATCTTTCGATCAAGTTGCCGCCTGTACAACCGTGTCTGAATAACCACAATAATGACCGGGACTTTGAAGGACATGTCGAACTTCCTGGGTAAGCGCAAGTAGCTAAGCAGTAGAGCGACCACTTAACACGCGATTAATTCGGTGTTCAATCACCCAAGGTCCATGCTGGTCTCGATCCGACGGATGATGCGGGCTGGGTTGCCGGCAGCGAAGTGAAGCGGTGGGATATCCTGAAACGTCGTGAATGTTAGCAAAATAAGAGATTTCCGAGATGCATCAGAGCGAAAATACCTTGGTTACAACTGCACCCGCTCCGATAGTGCATCCTCGTCCTATCCTCACGCCTCCTAAGATAATAACACTACCTCCAATCCAAACGTCATCCTCGATATGAATCTCCTTCCCGGCCTCTGGACCCTCGAGGCCTCGTCGTACCGCTGGATCTAACGGATGAGTCGCGCTGTAGAGACAGACATTGGGCCCGAACAGAACTCGCTCGCCCACGATGACCAGGCACGTATCAAGAACCAAGAGGTTGACATTCAAGAAGGACCCCTTTCCGACTTTGAAATTCTGTCCATGGTCAACGGATATTGGAGGATCGACGGCGGGATCCGTTTGGGCAAATAGATTCTCATCTTCTTTAGGGTCCGGATGGACTGGGGGAACGGGGCGTGTATCACAGACAATACTGTCCCAATTGTGAGCAAATAATTATTCCTCACTGTACAGGTCTTGCTCACTTACTTTCTCCAAAGCTCTACCCGACGCCGTCTGGATACCTGGCCCGCCTCATTGAATCGCTGGCACGCCGCTCTACAGCGCTCTCGGTTGGCCTGGTGGTCGTCATCCCATGCCCAATAGAGCTCTCCATTGAGCATTTTCTGCCATTCCTTGGACGAGGCCATGCTGATTTAGACCGAGGGGATATCTTGTGAAAAAGCTAAGTTGAGATTATGAAACGCATGGACGGCAAATTGTTTCTATAGTAGTCGGACGTGTGACTCGGAGATTAGCAGTGACTCCATCCCGTGTTCAAAAGGCGCTCTCAGCGTCTCGGATGAATCGGTAGCGCTAACTATTCAAGACATAAATGGGTCAGAGTTGGGAGTTATGCCGAATCCAGAAAGTCAGTCCACAATAGAACCCAACCCTGGTATCTTCGGCCGCCAAGTACTAGAAGCTTATCGGGACGGATTCGACAGCATTATTACTCGATTTGGAAAAGAGGCCAGCAGTCTAATGTCTCGACGAATGGTATTGCCAGTCATTCTGGGCCTCAGTCCTCGGATGCACTAAACCAAGACAGTCATTGGATCTACTTTTCCCCCTCTTTTTCATGCCTATCGCCTGCTGAGTAACTAACGATTCAGGTCTCGTCGGGAGAATTGAGTTTCGGAGGTAAGCGAATTAATATCTCTAATATAGTTTGATATCAATTGATACCGTAAAGATAGAATGTGTGCTACTGTATAGCTAGGAAGAAGCAAGTTATGTGCCGTTAGCTCGGCTTCATTATGCTATGACCCCAAGTAAGACCGAAACTTGGTCAGACATAAATATCATCATAGATGCCAGTAAGAAGCATGGGGTTGAAGGGAGTAGGCCCCTTGCTCTCCTTTAGACATCACTTAAGTATCTGCTATTTTCTAAAACATTCGCCCTGAACTTCAAAAGCGAACGTATTTTGTTCTATAAAATGCCTTCAACAGTGACAGACAAGTCCATTTCCGACAAAACAATGACCCCGGTGGATGCACAGAGTGTTGGTCCTGGAATCGTGAAGGACCTTGGGCCAGGCGAAGACGAAGATGATGCTATCCTTCGAGCCAATGGCCACGATCAAGTCATGCCTCGACAGTTCAATTGGATCTCCGCTCTTGGGCTAGGGTTCTCGATCACCAACTCTTGGGTTGGCTATTTGGTAAGCAAATCAACCAGTATCAATCATTCTGGAGAAAGTTGTGGCAATTAACCCTTAGCTTATGTGGAAAGAGTTGTTTCGGGCAAAGCCTTATCTACGGGGGCGCTCAGACATGTATATTCAGCCTTGTTGTTGCCTTTGCAATTCAGCTCATCATCACTACTGAGCTGGGAGAGCTCGGGTCAGCGTTCCCGGTAAGCTTGGGAACACAACGCCCTTTGTCGGGTAAATGATCAAATCGTTAGTCAAGCGGAGGCCAGTACCATTTCTGCTACATCTTGAGCCCGGACAACACGAAGAGATACAGTGCATACATCGTGGGATGGCTATCCGTCTTGGCTTGGTGGATTGTCACGTACATTTATCTCATACATTGCACTGGGATTTGTCCAATCTTACACCTGCCTTATTAGACATTACTCAGATGTTGTCTTTTTACACCACTATGACATTATTCAGAAAACATCAAGTGAAATACATGGTGCCAGTTCATTCGGCACCTCCGAGACACCCAGGTTGCCAAATGCTACCACTATGGTCAATTGCGCCTCTCACGGCTGCACTGGGCTGTCTGGTTGTTCCAACCACCAAGTGCAGAGATGACCTGGTTCTATGAGGTGCCATACTGGTCTACGAAGACGTATGTAAAACGAGTGACCGCCCCTCTGATATTTGGAGTTGGTGTGACAGCCTGGTCACATTGGCTGGGTATCACATGAGGTGCAGTTGTTTGCTTTATTGCTTTGTTGATAAATACAGTGTTACCTCCTCTCTTCCTTCCTCATGTTGATTATTCTCGTCGATAGCTACCTAGGTAGAATCCATGAGTTGGATGTTCCATTATCCTAGTAGAGCGCCGTGACAGTTGGGGTACATTACTTATGCTATCCTCCATGCAAGCCATTTTCTGCATACCAGTCAAAGAATTTGGATCTGGGGCTATGGGTGGCTATGGTTACAGAGCCTTGATCTGGGTCTTTTGGAGTTTTTCCTATGGTTGTGTTGCTTTTATCAGGTATAGTCTTGATTCTACTGCTTGTGATTTCAATTTTTGTGCTTTTTTTTCGGGTAACCTGAGGGCTCAAGAACAGTGGAAAGCGCTCCGAGAGTCTGAATCTAGAGTATGGCGAAAATAATTGCTGAAATGGTGACTCGATGATATCCTATTGCTGCTGCTATGGGCCGGTTCGGCCTGATCTAGTGTCTTGGAGCTGGGTAGAGATTTCTGGTAACAGTGCTTTGGTCACACGTATTGATCGATATTCTGGTGTTTTTTTGCCCTTGGATTTGAGTAAGCATTGATCTTTATGACTTTGATAGTGCATGAGATGAGTGAGTTGTGAGACGGCGTTGAGCCGTTGAGCCGTCACGACATGTATGATTTATGCACAAGGTGACGACTGATGTATCTTTGCCATCACTAATTTCTTTTGTTTATTTTATTTCCCATAAATCAATCTTATCATTCTTCCTCCCTCAAACGGGTCTTACTATGCCTGGTGTCCCCGCTAGCGCCGGTACAAGCGGACTCATTATTAGGGCTGATAGCATGTACAACGAGAGATAACGAAGATGCAGTTGGGGTAAGTAGTTGGAGTAAGTAGTTGGAGTAACTAGATCAGTCTAAAAATGGACCCCAGGAAACAATGTACATAGTTTCATGACGTATTCAAAACATGCAAAGTAGCTAATATCGACAAACGCCAACATTCTAGCAAACAAAGTACCCGGCGCGGCCATAGAACCCATAAGTAAAACTTCGTTTCCCTGTAGATAGATTTATCTTTTTCTTTGCTCTCAATCATCTCATTCTCTCCTCACTAACGTCCACCATCTCACTCTTTTTATCTCTTACAACCTTGTCAAATCCATATATTTCAATATCTGTCTATTTATTACACATATACTCCCAATAGAACCGCCACGGATACACCTGACATGTTGCCATCATCATAGCGGAAGGAAATTGATCTCTGTTATGGGCTTTTCGTACAAACGCAAGGGATGACAGTTTGGCCAAGGCCAGCATGGAACACGGCCAGCAAGGGATCCATAACAGACTATCAGTGACTCCTTTTTACAACTCCTGACATCCGAAGAGGATCACTATCTTGAGGATATTTGTAACTGTAGAGTGCGTTTTTCTGGTAAGAGATGTTTGGAAAAGGGTCCTGTCATGGAGTGGGAATATGCAGCATACCTTGACTATATTGTACGTGAGCGGCCATGGATGGTACTAAATAGATGTCGTTGTTTTGAACCGTCCCTGGGCACGTAAGTATGTTTTTATGTCTGGAGTGGTAACCGCCGTAGTATTCGTCAGAGTATTCGTCCACCTCCCCCCTAGCGTTGCTAATTTGGAAAACACCTCCTCACCGTCACCAGTCCTTTGCTCCAGTCATCTTCTTGTCTTGCCACTGTCTCTACTATAAAGAGCCATTCCTAGACTGACAGATTCATTATCCTCGGTATCACTCGGCACCTTTACTTCAGGGTACTACATCTTGAACAACAACAGATCAACATGGCTTACAACGGCACCTCCAAAGAGACAGCGCCGAACACTTGGCTGCACCTGAACGGCACTGCGGACCAGATTCTTGACCGCTACTGCGTCAGCGAACTAGTCCGAGGTTGGCCGTTGTATATGGATTACTCGGAATGGAAGAACTACCGCAACTGTTTCACGGATGACGCCTGGGTGCTCACCTGTATGCACAATACCCACATTCACTACCTATCAACACACCCCCAGAAGAACTAATAAAAACATATAGTGTGCAGCAAAGGTTCCCAGCACATTGATAACTTCGTCAAGAACTCCCAAAAAGGCCGCCAGGATGGGGTCTTCATGGCACACCGCGAACTCGGCACCCTTGTCGATCTCAACCCCAGCACCAACCGTGCCGTCGGCAAGATGAAAGTCACTATCACTGAGCGCTTCATCGACCCTCTCACGAAAATTGAGTACGATGTCGACTGTGACGCGCGCTTCATCACGTATTGCGTGAAGATCCCGGCCCCTTCGAACGCTGGCGATCCTATCCCAGGCACTGGACTAGGCCCGCGCGCGAGTTCAGGTGGATGGAAGATCCAGTTTGTGAAGCTTATCTATGAGAAGGATAAGGTTGTCCCTGTGGATGGGAAGAGTGTGCCTGCGTTTTCAAAGGAGGAGCTGGACAAATATCAGTATGCGCATCGGTATTTGGCGGCTGCGCGGGCAAGGAACGGTGAAAATCCTAGGGAAGACATGTCGACGTTGATTGAGACCGAGCAGTTTTGGAACATCTATCGTGCTATTGACGAGTGGCTGAATGGGCAGGATGTGTCAGATGTGAAGAAGACATTGGGGATTTGAGCGAATTTCTACAAGTATAGGCATATGGCAAAGGGTAATAAAGCAGTAATTACAGCTCAGGGAACCGATTAAGAGCTCGGCGCCCGGAATATCCAAATTAGTATCCAGAAAAAACACGTCTTCTTCATGCGTCAATTCACCAATAGAGGCCTTCCGGCTCCTAAAAACCACCACGGAGGCACCGAGACCCGTGGTGGTGGTGATGGTGATGTATCGCACACATCACCTTTCGGTGCGTAACGTAGCCTCCCAGCTCACAGGAGCACTGGATATGCCAGACACCTCAATACCAATCTGTTGGTGACTCAAGGATGTGATGCAGCCTATACATAGTGATAGCAGTGCGGAGATTATGAGTATGAATGAGAATGAAGGCCTGGAGCGTTTGACCACGGGGGGTCCAACAGAACTCCCAGCTAGACCAGTGAGGCTAGAAGTGGAATCAGGCAGTAGAAAATCCTACAGAAAACACTGATTGATAGGCCAAAGCGTCAAACATCCCTGCGAGATGCGAGCAAGCAAGCCTAGGTGTCGGTTGGTGCCTTAGAAGCAGCCTTAACACAACGACGAGAAATGTATCAGATTATCAAATAGTCCTGGATCAGGTATAGACACACCTAGTAGAGAAATTTTTGACTGCTATGCTTGGTACGATGTCATAAGCACTATTCAGAGCGAATGGAGGAAGAACCCTGATCCAGAAAACTATCTATCATAAAGACCTATTTATGGACAATTTGACAGCCATCCGCTAAATACTAAAGGGAAGTTTAAAGAGACACAACAAATGCAAAGTGTGATGGCTTGACACCGTGTATATAGCTTGACGTCACCCCTACAGCTAATAATGACAAACAGCACCGAACCAAGCCGACATGGTTAGAACCCTGTCGTACAATTGTTATAGAAAACCCTTCATCCTCTCGATATGTTTCCTTTTCTTTTCTTTCTCCAGCTTAATGTTCTCGTCGATTAATACAATAGTTTAGATAGGAATTCCATTCATTAGTATCTAATATTCCGAGCCTGTTACATCTACCGCTGCAGAGAAGCATTCACAAGGAAGCTACTAGGACTCTGTTACAATCCGTAACCAGAACCAATATAGTTCTATCCCATAGGCATCTAGAGCGGGCGACAGAAAGATCCTAGAGAGATGAGGAACGGGGATGGAAGCATTGGAGGCAAGTAGAACAGGAGAAGGGTAATAGAGAGGACTAGAAAGCAGACTACATACGCTGTAGTACTGGTACATAACAACTCAGTATATCTAAGGGGACGTCTTATAGAAAACCAACCCGAGGAAAACTGGACATAACCCGCACCGATACCAGTTAAAAGCCCAGGTTTCCATGACATAGCGCTCCACCCCGGAGTGTCTTGGCTAAATTCAGCCAAGGCAGGTCCAACAAGAGCGCTAGGAATCAATACATAGGCAAAGGGCTGTTTCTCCCTTTTCGCCAAGGGTATCCGGTGTCTATGCCTCTATCTCACTCGGAAGCAGACGCACACTGGGGTGCTGATCAGGAAGACAACGCCAGCGAGATAGTGCCTAGATGTTTGCTATCAGTCATTCTTGATTCCAACCACGGCTTGAGATATCCAGCCTCCTGAGCCACCTCCGAGAGGTGGCCGACAAGCAATTCGACTATATTATCGCTGAAGTTGGTTTGATTGGCTGGGCCGCTGCTGCTCAAATGACGGACAACTCTGATATTTCTGTTCTTGTAACTACTACTATGGCTAGGGTTTTGTTAGAAATCTGTACCGTCCCGCCATTACCATTGGATGTACGTCTGATCTTTATCCTGTTATCAGAAATGCACTTCAGCTTATTCTACACACATATGGGTTTGATATTCGCCGCGAGTTTGGGGAACTATGATAAACGCTGCCATTTAGGGTAAATTTTAAGATCCCGGCGTAGGACGGACTTAGACCGAAGCGGGGCTAGGTCTATCTCGGTGGGGATGTTCGGGATTCCATAACCACGCTCAGACTGGATTCTCTGTGTTTTACAGCATGCAGTGCTCGATAACCCTTTTAGGTTATTCGATCCCGACGGAACCCCCGATCAGGTGATCGGTATCTAGGCATAATTCCCGTTGAAAATGGTCACCCGATTCCATTCACCATCCAGATGTGCCATCGCTATCGGGGGCGAAGGGCCGATCACCTGTCTATCAGATTGTATACCTTGTGTTGAGCACCGCTATCTGCGTTTAGGTTGTCTGGCTATGATAGATATTTAAAAGAGCACATGTCTCGAAGTTCAAGTGTAGTCAATAGCAACTTCAAAGCAAAATTCAATCTCAAAGCTCAGACTTTAAAGTCTCAGCCCTTTTCTCAATATAAAGACTTGTCTTTGATTCTTATTTCTCGCAATGTCGTTCTTAAAGAACTTCTTTGGTACTTCCGCTACTGCGACGAAAGACGAGAAGAGCCCTATCCGTGCTCTTCCCGCTTCCTGGTATACCTCCCAGAGCATGTACGAGCTTGAACGACGCTCCATCTTCAGCCGGAAATGGCTTCTCACTACTCATAAACATCGCGTCCCCAACTCTGGTGACTGGGTTCGATATGATGTCGTTGGCTATGAATTCGTCATCCTCAAGGATCAGGAAGGAAACGTCAAGGCGTTCCTCAACAACGATCTCTCCCCTCCTATCCATGTGCACATTGACCGAAATGGTTTTGTCTGGGTCAACCTAGACGCTCGCGAAGTTCCCGAAGTTGCCTGGAAGGACGACTTTGATGGTGTTGATGAGCAGCCCCGGTTCGACCACTACAACTTCGAGGATTATGCATTCGACCACACCTGGGATATGGAGGGCGACTTCAACTGGAAGATTCTGGCGGACAATTATAATGAGTGCTACCACTGTCAGGTCGCCCACCCTGATATCCCCAAAATTGCCGACCTCAACTCCTACTATGTCAAGACCAAAGATGGCCACATTCAACATTACGGCGCGCAGCGACAGGACCAGATTGAGAAGGGCTTCCGAATTGCCACCACCTACTTCTGGCCTAATGCCTCTTTCAACGTGTCGTAAGTGTATTACTCTCTAGTACTAGGCTTAAAACATTGCTAACCTTTTTTTCAGTCCTAACTTCTTCTTCATGCAGCGATTCACTCCCATTAGCCCAACCAAGTCAGTGATGCGGTACGAAGTCTATCGCCATAAGAACGCCACTGATGAAGCCTTTAACCTCATCAGCGACATGTACAAACGAATCATGTCTGAAGACAAGTACCTCTGCATCAACAGCCAGAAGAACCTCAACGCCGGCGTCTTTATCAACGGCGAGCTTCACCCTGAGATGGAGAAGGGTCCTCTCCACTTCCAGAAAACTATTCGCGAGGTCGTCATGGAACATCGTGAGAAGGAGAAGGCCGCTGGCCACGAAATTTGGCCTGCTGAACAAGATCTTCCCGAAAACAATACCGTCAGCCAAGACAGCATCATCACTTTCGACACGGCTATGGATGGCTGCAGCATGGAGAAGGATAGTTTGAATGAACCCTTGAAAGGCGGTCTTGTTACGACAACAACAACAACAATTGCTGTCTAGAGGGATGGCGGTAAAGGGGGGAGGTAGAATTTTCATTAGTGGTATAATCTGCCATTGTGTTTCTTTCTAGCATTGTGCTTGATGATTGATGATTTAGAACTTAGTTTGCCTTGAATGAATTTAGCCTTGAAACAATTGACACTTTTCACGTTGGATTAACTACGTTTGAAGCTCAAGAATGTGTTACCTCTTTTACTGTACTTACCGTTGTACATAGCATTCTACATACCAATGATTCCTCCTATCCAAATGTTTCTATCCAACCATGCGCAAAGCTAAGTATTTTAGTGTTTTATACGAGGCTCAATCAGCCAACAATTGGTCTGATATAGTATGTAGACTCAAACAGATTATTTTTTATTAGCTTCTGTAAAGGAACTCACTTATTGATTTGTAAGATACTTGGTATAATTATTGTAGCATTTGATGTAGTAAATGAAGTGCCAAACCCCACTATCCATTTTGATGTACTGCTTCGCTCTAATTATACGACATCTGGCAGAGCTATATACGATGCTTGAGAGTCAGTAATTGAAAGGTCCTCTTCCATTTGTGGGCGACATACGTGGATGTGGTCTGTTCTGGGTCGTGGAGTTTGTCGCGGACAAACAGTCTAAGACACCGTTAGCTCCTGAATCCGACTTCTCTAACACGATCGTGAGAAACGCTCTTGGGGATGGGTTGGATATATTGGGAAACCTGGGACATACAGACACGTACTATATTGACCATGTTATCATCTGTCTTCCGTATATTGTGACTGAGGGAGATCTTAAGCAGATTGTATCACTCTTGCGAGATGCAATCATTGAAACAAGTCGGTCATTTCTTGATGAATAATAACAGATTAATAGACAGTAATGAGACAGTTTTGCGAGATGCTGACTTCAAAGAATACTTAGCTTATTTAGTTACAAAACCATTCCATGTTCTCATGTAATTAATAAAATTCTCACTGAGACCAGCTCTCTCGACTAATCACCCGTCACAGGCAATTCCAGCGCACAATACTCATCACTCAACTCAGCATCAAGAACAGCTGCCTTCCCAATCATAACAAAATCACACCCAACATCAAGTACACCAGCAGCCTGGCGCGCACTCAAAATATGCCCCGAAGCCCCAACACGAACAGACGACTGCGGCAATTCCATGAACACGCTCACCAACCTTCGTCCCTCAAACGGCGGCTCCTGCGCCTCCTTCCGATAATCCCACACAGCCAAATCAAGATAATCAGTCTTCTCCTCGTGTTTTGCTCTTGCAGCAACATTCCGGACCTAGAAAAGTGATAACCCATACCGCTCTATGGACAGCCGCAGGCCAATTTGGAAATCAGTCCGACATTCACCCGCGAATGCTCTCGATGACTTCGAAGAGTAACCGCGAGCGGTTCAGCCTATGCTACACCCACCCTGCTCCGAAAATATAATAAGAGCACTCCGCTCAAAAGCTCTGCGCATACAGGCGGTTTGAGGCGAGGAAAATGATTAGAAAGATGATAGAAGGAGGTTTGCCTCACGGACTCCCAGGGACAAAAGGACGCCAGTGAGTTGCAGGCCTCGGGCTTATGGAAAATGGTCTTTAATATCTTTACAGCTCGATATGGACAATAAAATTAACTCAACTCAATTATAATATCAATACCCCTTTAGGGCTATTGATTATTGTGCTATCTTCACGATACCACATTTATGGACCAGGGTACTAAATTAATTTTATATAATGGTCAGCAGCACATGAAATAGCTCAGTTAAATCCTGGTTTCCCCGATGGTCTAATGATAACTGCTGCCTACTAAATCGCATCTGAAAGAACAACCTTCCCAAAATGCCGCTGCCCCCAAACATATTATACGCCTCCTTCAACTCCCTCAACCCAAACGCTCTCAGGTCAACAACCGGCTCAATTCCATACCCCTCAATAGCCCGATTCATCTCCTCGAACTGTATACGATTACCAACCTCGATCCACCTCACTATACAAGCCTGCAAGAGCGGCTGTAAATACATAGGCCCATCCTCCGCATGTCCCTGACCAGTCAAGAACCCGATAACATTAATCCCCCCACCGCGCGCAACACAGTTGAAGGACTGTTTGATAGTCTGGACCACCTACTTCAATCACACGCTGGCAGCCTAGTTCATCGCGTGTTAATTTTCGGGCTGTCTCGCCCCAGTTAGGATCGTCGCGGTAGTTCAGGATATGCTGAGTGCCCAAGTCTTTCAGTTTGCGGGCCTTCTCTGAGGATGTCGTGGCAATGATAGTTGCCCCGGCAGCAAGTGCGAAGAGAATAGCGAATAGCGAAACACCCCCTGTTCCCTGCGCAAGGACATAATCGCTCGCTTTTAGAGGTGTAATTCCTGAAGCCGCCTGTCTGTCTTGGCTGTAAACGAGTCCAAGATAGCAGTTAGATTTCTCTGCAGCAAGGCAAAATAATCACAAATGCTGTAACCATCCATCCATCCATCTATCTATTACCTCTGAGTGACGCCAAGTGCCTACGGGCTCATTCTCGTCAACTTCAAGATCCAAATCAGAAAGGCAATCTGATCACTGCAACTAGGGCTATTCTGCAATGATGCGTCATTGTAGGAATCCGTGATCCGCAATGTAAAAACCTGCGATGTGAAAACCTGCATAATACACCTAGGACGGCGAAAGCCTTACCGAATCCGGCTCTGTGACGCGATTCGTATGTGGCTTTCAACTGCTGGCATCATTGAATTCTGTCAATATGCCCATACCGAATCGGAGCCGCCAAGGCCAAACCAATTATCCGATGATCACTGGACAGGGCATTCATTCCTCAACAGTAAGACACTTCAACGTTCTTCGGTTGCAATCACCAAATCAAGGAACCAAGATCGAAATTGAATAGCACTACCATGGTGAAGCTGTATTCTGCAGTGAACGGCCTAGTATGGTAATGGCCTGGAATGAAAAAGCCGGCATGATCCACTAGACCCTAAAATAGCCAAGGTCTTCGCGACGGCTAGAGTGAGGCATCTAACTTTCTCAGGTGTATGCCAGTTCCTCGGACAATTGCAATGCAATGCTATATCCGATTCCAATCACCGAAGAACCATCGAATAGCTTGGAGGAATGCAGAAACCGAAAAATCATTGCTGCTCCACAGCCCGAGGTTTAAGCATCGCCACCACTATCACTAATGTACCGGACACCATTCCAGTGAATAAAGCCGCATTATGAGGAACCCCGAATGAATAAGCAGACATCATGCACCGCGACCCCAACTCCAAGAGACCCTAAAGAAAAAAAAAATCCCGAAGCATCACCCCCGGAACCAATATTGAAAATATGCCGCTTTCGGACGAGTCGAGACCATCTTAGTGCCACCAAATAGCCATCGGAACTCTCATAGACAGATTGAGACAGCTCCAAACAGCTCCAAACAATCTTCACCATTACCCCTTGCAGTCCATGTTCCGTAGCCCGTACCCGAAAGCAAAAACACCAACCAAGGAAAACAGCCGAGGCTATCTCATCAGATTATCAGATCCACCAGTAAAGCTCTAGAACTAGCAAGTGGAGCGAGGGAATGATTGGCTGGTATTGCGTCCGGGCTTGCTGCATGGTGCGTGCGGTATGTACGGAGTATGGTTGATGCTAGATTGGTCTGGGCGCGGAGGTCTTGCCACGTTGGAGTCTGTGTGGTCTTGTGTTTTGCTCGTGTTCGTGCTCGTGCTCGGCTCGTTTAGATTGCTTGTGGTTGTTTTTGGTATGTAGGTATGCCGCTCCGGGTACGGATGTCGGATATGTACTGAGAATGCTGTATTGAAAATGCATGTTCAAAATTATTGAGAGGCTCTATGCTGATCTAACTAGTCCACTGTCTAGTCTAGTCTAGTATATTATCCAACAAGCACCATCCCTAGATACAGTATTACAGAGTACATCATGTGCATCGTAAGATATGTATATATGTGCATAAAACCGCCCGCTCACGGCGCAGCAGGCTCCTGACTAACCCGTCGTCCTTGATTCGCCTTACGATCGGACGCAAGCGTCTGCGCGAACTTACTCTTTTCACGGATCCAAGGACCCTTCCAGTAGAACACGTAGACCGGGGCGACGACAACGCAGGACAGACAGGCCAGGACGGTGGATGCGTACTCGACGTGCCACTTGTCGCCAATGTTCTCGTACATAGGGGTCGCATACATGGCGCTGATACCGGCGAGCAGATCACGCGCGAAGGCGTTGCCACCGGTCGCAGAGGCGGAGTAGACACCGTAGGCTGCTACCATATAGTCGACGGAGGAGAGGTAGATGGCATAGTTGGCGATACCGACGCACGTGGAGAAGACCATGGAGCCCATCCAGTGGACGTTGCGTTCCTTGCCGAAGGAGGTCCAGGCGAAACCAAACAGGCCGATGGGTTCGAGGGGCGCGAGCCAGAGGAGCCACTTCAGACGGCGTTCGGCGGGGATAGCATCGTTGCCCTTGGTTTGACGGATATGTTCGTCGCGTATGAACCATGGGAAGTAGGAGAAGTAGGCGATGAAGTAGGCGACGTTGATGGGGATGACAGCCCAGGCCTGACCCAGGACACCCCAGCCCCATCCTTGCTCGTAGACGATGGCGAAACTCTCGAGGAAGGTGAAGATCAGAGCGTCGGAGAAACCGGACAGGAGAGACATGCACAGGACAATAGGCTCGCGCACGAACATGTAGAAGGGACGGATCCAAATCTTGCCAGCTTCATGGAGCGAGACACGAGGTTTTTTCAGCTCGTTGGGGCCGTAGATGTTGGGGTCCTCTCCAGTCTTGCGACGTTGCTTGGCTATCTTGTCCATGATGATGGTTGAACGACTTTCGGGCATGAAAAACATGATGAATTGGACAACTGCTCCGAAGATGAGCTGGATCCAGAAGAACCATTGCCAGTCGAGGACTATACACGTTAGCACATTTCTTTCTATTGTTACAAGGAAGATACGTACAACGCCCGATCGGACCACCGATAACACCACCAATACTGGTACCAATGCAGGACGACAAGACGATAAACGCAAGAGGAAACTGTTGCGTATCGGGTTCGTACAAGTCGGCAATCAAACCAAGAGTAACACTACCACCAGCGGTAGAGATACCACCCTGGGCTCAAATTAGTTCATTGTTACAAGTCGTGTCGTCATGAACGCCAAACTTACCAGACCACGAGCGACGACAATCGAGCCCCAATTGGGAGCCAATGCAGCTGGAAGTTGCCAGATGTTGATCAAGAACATCGATAACTGCAGAATAGGCCAGCGACCGAATTCCTCACTCCACGGCGCCCACAGTTCACATCCAATAGAGTATGTCACCAAATAGATCATTTGGCCCGTTCGCGCATGTTGCGCACTGATATCGAACGCCTTCGTAAGGGGTTTCACGGCATTGGGATAGACGGAAGTGTTGAAGTTCATAGAAATCTGCACGCCAGCGATGGCAGCCAGGTACATCCATTTCTTCCACCGAGGCCAACAGTAGGCCAATTGATCATAGCAATCCTCCTCCTTCAATATGCGCTTCCCATCCGAGCGAACACTCTGCTTTTCGGTATTTTCGTTGGCAGTAGCCTCGGGAGCACTGCTGGGGGTAGACGACTCTAACTCCTTATCCGAGGAGACTCTAGGATCCTGCGGAGTGGCTTCAGCCATTGTGCAGGTTTGTGTGGGGTATCAAAACTGAAGCCAAAAAAAAAAAGAAAAGGTTGGAGACAAAAACGGTCTGGGGAAAGAGAAGGTTTGGACACTTTGTACTGTTCGCATTGCAGTGATGAATCAGCATCGGTTAGAAGAGATAGCCGTATCATCGTCATTTTGGACCAAACCGGATTTCCCAAAGCAGCACCCATACTAGGACCCACAATGGATCGGCAGTAGAGATTTTTATGCGGCATGACATCACAGAATGTGCGCGTGCCATACTTTGCTTTCGGCAGTTCGTCGGGAAGCCGACTTCAACCAATTGGGGCTTCGGCTTCCTCGGTGTCACGTGAGGTCACGTGCATTAGTGATGTCATAGGATTCTCCGACGATCCATCCGAATGACTTCATTTCGCCAACTTGATTATGAAGAACTATGCGCATTGGATGAGCATAACCGAACATAGTCGAGCATATCGAAGGTTAAAGAATTGTGCTGAAAGCGAATAACAAAGAGCATTAGTATTGCCTCACCTTGGCAAAGCACTGAGAGTATACCTCATAGTATGTTAAGTCAGGGTTGACTGTCCTGCCAAGGTCGTACCCGAGAGCAAAAGTAAGTGGGCTTCACCAAGAGCCAAGAGCAATAGCGCAGTTCGCTAAGGATCAAGCATAGCTGGGCATTCGTGTATAGAACCACAAGACTTTGAGGGAGACATGATTGCCCTAGGGTCCAAGTGGTAAAGATTCGCTTGCTCAGCCATGTACATACAATACTAGTACGGAGTAACAGTCGATCAGAAAAGGAACCTCTCCCCTTAAATACCCAGGGGCAGGCCGCCAGCAAAAGTGGATGCGTGCAAAAAACCAGATTTGAGAAGATATCACATGACATCAGTGTGAAAAAAAAAAAGAACACACCTATTGCTATGGATTACGCAGTGCTCATTCGACGGCGAGTATATACGTACCTCTGTCCAGATTGTGGCGACACTTCAGAGCTCTGCAACACGTTACTGGCCATTTGAGTGGGTATCAGGGGTCAGATGGGTCCTGGTTGATTGATCCATTCTACGAGAGTCGGAACATATGAGGACTGGCAAGCAGCCACGGTTTTATTGGAAAAGATCTGTAGATAACAGTCTCGGCTATGAAGACGTGCAGCTATGAAGATTAACAACAGCACGTCTTACTGACTCGCTTGCAGGGCCGTTGTTGCTGCTGGCACTCTGAAGACTGCCCGAATGAAGGACTACGCGTACATTTCTCAACGCTCCGCGGTTTCGTTCCTTACCAGACTGTTAAGAATGTGATACTTTCAGACGCGGATACAAGCCGTGCCCATTACTGAGGAAATAATGTCCTTTCGCGTCAAGATGGTCCTCGCAATGTCAATCCCTGACAGGCTGCAATGCTGCCCAAATGTGCGGCAATCGCGTATTGTTGCCGATTCAAGACCGTCTCTGGATGCACCAGTATGCACCTGGTGATGCAAGCCTCCAGGTGTACTAAAGGCACTGGCAAAGGGACGGTCATTGGAGATCGGTCTCGACGCAATTTTGGTGCTATGGTGAATACCTGGACTACAGGATGTATCCGCCATGACTTGAAATAGTCATAAGAGTCAAGTACCCACGATGCATAAGCGAATGGAATGAAATGCACAATTTATGGGGGTGCCCATAGGGACAACATCTCCATTGGGCCCATCCGAATACAGCGGCAGCTGTGACATTCGTAGCGCATTCTTGTAGCTATTCAAACCACAAATTTCTGAGAATTGCTACGTATAGCTCTAATCAGAACCGGCGTTCACTCAGAAAATTTTTTTTCTCCGGCGCCAACCTGATCTGCCATTGCTACCGCATGCAGCAAAATCTGCTATCTTCTCGTAGGATAACCAACAGCAATTGAAATCCCCGAATCTGAGATCCACATTCTAGAATGCGAGGACGATGTTCACGACTTGTCCCACAGACCTCTACAATCATCTGATCCGCCCAATCGGTATGCTCACCCACGAATCGCAATGGGCGAGAGGAACCGATGGACGATGTGTAATGGCCATCGTTGGGTACCTGGACTCCGTCATGGATAAAGTTATAAGTGATGCTTTAGTCAAAGGGCATTAGGGCGAGCGCTGGCCCTCGAGTGGCATTCTTTCGTACTCTGGAGCCTTCAGAAAATGCATGGGCAACGTTTGTTAGACCTCCCGGTCTCATGTGATTGCTAACAAAACATTGGCCCGGTTGGCTCGATCTCTGATGTGCATATTTTGGTATTTCAAGCCATGCATCATAATCGATGGCATTGGGTTGGACTTCCCAGCGTAGAGGACTGTGAAACATTCTGTACAAGCTACTTCGAGCAAAGCTTTTTTTCCCTTGAGAAATGATCAGCAATCATAATGCAGCGCTCAAAGCTGCCAGCCGCTCATATTTCTGTCGTCAGAAGTAAACTTGTACCAAAAAAAAAAAAAAAAAACGCCTGGGAGTTCTGCCAAATTCCACTGAAGGTAAGCCCGGTACACCAGGGATGATATTTTCTCATTGGGATATTGTCGCTGAATCGGACGAAATCCGTTGTTTCAATGTTAGCCAATGCCAGAAGTTCAGTACATGCGGCATATACCTCTTCGCGTTTTGGATTCCAGAACAGATGTCTCCAGCCGTATAATAAGTGAATGATTCCCAGTTCTTTGAGTTGACTATGTTCGATCAGCATATTGCCATAAAAGTATATAAGATGCGCACATATTTGCCTTTACACTCAAACGCTGCCCTGATATCATCACGCTCAGATCGAGGAAGTTCCCAAAACAACGGTCGTCGATCACTTCTATCATCCGGCCGAATCCCAGGAAGTATATTCTACACTAGATAGCACACAAGCCCACTAGGTACCAGTCCACGAGAGCCATGACTCTCTACCTTACAACCCAGCAAACCAGGCGTGACCATGCTGTTCATCTCCATCAATAGTCTGAGAGGTCGCACACCGTTGAATAGTCTCAGAAGCATCGGCTACTTGCTCTACTCAGGAGGATCGAACTCGGTTCCCAGGTCAGCCATCCGCATGTACACTTTCATAAGGGCCTGTTTGCTTGGATCGCCTTTGTTTTCAATTAGGAACTTCACGACGGTGGCTGAAGTCCTAGCTCTTCGTCGTGTGCGAACTGGTCATATTTCTCGTAGTGTTTCGATTTGATGATCCATGTTGAAGGACTGGGATAGTCGCAGGCGACCTCAGAACTTAGGGACCTCCTGAACAGAATTCTGTCAGACATAGTGTCAGCAGTGGATGCAGTGGATGGCCGTCTGAACGAGAGTAGAAAGTGAAGGATAGACAGCTGTCTTTCAAGTAGATAAGCCATTTACGATCACATGGCATCAAATAAAATATAAAAAAAAAGAGACCATCCTTTCATATTTCGTACCATGGGACAGCTCAATTAGTTTCTGCTTTCTCTTCATCATCCCCACCTTCAGAAACAACACCTGGATAACCACTATATCCTCTCCCCCATCGTACCCACACATAATCCACCACAGCAACAAGTCCAACCGCCACAAACCCCAGCCATATCATTACGACCAGTATTCCCACCGGCGTCAGAATCCTCTCGACGTTCCACAGCGAATCAAACGTGCCTTGGGTAACGGGGAATCCGTCATATTGTTTGGCGCAGTTTTTGCGATGCGGGATGCTCATCACTGGGTTCGGAGTCAGTGGGGGACATCGTAGAGGGCCTTTATGGTGGCATGGGTTGTCGATTGCTGGTGGGATATTGATGGTTGCTAGATGTCCTGAACCTAGTTCGTGATCCTGAAGAGTTCAGTATGGAGACTTTCCAATGCGCCCCAGACCGGGAAATAGGACATACAGAGGCTGTCCAGACGCTAGTTTTAGAGAAAAATCTCCATCCGGAAGGGGTTATCACGGAACGATCATTTTCATAATCGTCACTGGTCCCGGGTATCGGCAGCGCAGCTGTAACGCTCAGCGACGAGACTAGAAGAAGGATAAGTGCAGAAAATTGCATATCGATACTGATAAATATCAAGCCCGGATAGAAACAGAACCGAGGAAGGGTCCGAATATATGGACAATGACACTTTTGATCGGTTCGCCCTTGCTGTGAAACTATTGTCCAACCCAGGATATTCCTGTGCAATCATATGTTGAGCAAAGAAAGAAACACGCTGACTGGACGCATCACATGCGATCTTGATTCCCCTTACAGGGTGGCATTAGCTAGTTTGTTTGCTTCACGGTCTGTTCGCATTCTCGGGATTGTCAGAGTGCTTATTCGGCTGATAGGTCCGTTGACGGCCGGCACTTCTAAGTTTATCAGCACTTGAATGCATTTTGGCGAGTATTATCGCTAAACGCATGTTAAATGAGGATTTTCAGGTCATTCTCTTCATGGTTGCGATATGGAGGATCTCTGTTGACGTATCTCATAGAGGCTGATGAGAGACCGCCTTTATTCTGCCGTCCTCATCACACCGCTATTGTTGATTTTAACACCTGAGGCAAAATGTTTCCTATTACGGTATTCCGTGTTGTTTGCTATAACATCGGAGTAACATTTCTGACACAGATTAGTGATATCGATATTAACACACTTGAGATAACGAGTCTAGCAACTTGGGCCTAGAAACATCTTTGTTATCCACGGGCTAAGTGAAAATAGCATCTTGAGAGCTTTCCCCGTGCTAAGTACGGAATATATCGTACGAAAATGCTTGCCAGCAGCTCAAGATGCTTAGGAAACATGGGCAATATGCGTTTCCAAATGTATGTTGAACATCTGCCAGTATCTTGGAATATAATGTTTACTTTGGCTGTTTCATATAACGGTACCTCTATACGGCGTTAGAGCCAAACAATAAACGAGCTCCATAATCATTCTCGGCGTACTTACGCCTATTGGGCACATAGACAAGGATCCGACTCGAAGACCGTAAAATGACCCTCTAAAATATACATACTAGTGGAAAGGTCTTGAAGATCAGCGCAGTTATATCTGACGCTGAATACGGTGCATTTGGATGGACACAGGAGCTCGGGGAATTCAGTGTCACATGTCGAATCCATTCGATGATGTTGCGGCTCTTGGTAATATTTGCCACTGTATGGGTGCTACCTGATGCCGGAATGCAAAGAAGAGACGGTTCGCACATTTCTCGGTTGAAGTGTGCCGGACTTCGATTCCGCACACGTTGGAATTAGAGGGCCTGGGGCCGTTGAGGATGTCGAAGAAGATATCTTGATGAGTTGAAAAATGGATGTGGTAGCCCAAAATTGAAGGACTCTGGGGAAGATGGAGGCGCGTATATCCGGTCAGATGCAGTTCTAATAGCTATAACACGAATTAGTTCTACTGTTATTCCTAGGAGAGCAGTTCACACAAACCTTTGACTAATTGGCAAGCAGCATACATACCCCAGCGGACCTTTCACACAACAATTGCCCATAGATGCCTCTTCCTCGGAGTAGCAATTTCAATTATATTGTATTTCCAATCCTATCCACAATCAATCGGTTAGTTTGCTAATTGAAAAATGGGCTCAGAAGGGAATACGAAATCTCGCCTAGTCCTATATCCTGTTCCAGCGCACATAACCTCAGCGCCAAAGTAGCATAAACAAACTTCTTTTGATCCTCATGTTCCTTATGCGCAGTGCTGGCCTGAGATAGTAGGGCCTTGATCTCTTTTTGGATGGCTTTTGCAGGTTAAAGGAAGCGGCGATTGAGATATTGTGGTACTGATCTTTCTTTTGTCAATACTCGTAGCCCAATGCTTAGGCATCACGAATATCATTGGAATATCAGAAGCGCATGTTCGCTTGCCTTTGAGGTATGCTGAAAACCCCCTCTTCAATACACCCCCCCGGAGAAACAGTTGTACCATCGCATAAGGAAACAGCAATCATCCAGACCTTTGTGCTGTTTACCATCGTGGGCTGGAAGTACTCATATATACTCCGGCTCTCATGCTGCCACACAGATTCAGTTGAAGCTGGACAGAATTTAGAAAGCAATTGCTTAGGGGGAAGGGAAAGCGGAATTTTGATATCTTCCACCAACTCAGAGCCAACTGAGATACCCACTATTATAGACCTTTTCCTAGCTCGGTGACACGGATAGCTAGTAGTTTGCCTGGTAGGAGGGCGTTGATCTCATTTAGAATGCATTTGGCGGTTGAAGTAAGCGGTCTTACTATCATGGCTTTTTGTTACTGCATGCTCGCGATAGAAGTAGATATCAGTCAGTTTCCACGTTATCAGCGTCCTAAATCTATTTTCCTCGGAATATACACGAAGAGGTTATTTATTATTTATTTAATCAAGTTTATTGTCCATACCGAGCCCTAGAGCTATGACAGACCATTATCCGTGGACTTGAGGCCGTTGGCTATCCTACAGTCTCTTATCCATATAAGTTCCTGGGGCACTAGCCCCCTTCCATACTCTTTCTGATCCTTTTCCTCGCCCCAGACCGCCTGTTTGCGCAGGGCTTTCGAGCACAGTGCTCTCCTTGTGTTTCGTGCAGGATGGGTGCGACCTAGGCTGACTTCAGCTCAGGCTACCCTTCCTGCTATCCTTCTCCTGTTCGAATTGCCTCTTCCAATGATTCCAATCCCCATTCATCATCTTTCTGGACCCTTTCTGTCGTTCGCTGTAGGTGTGCTCGAGGTAGAGCTACACTGGTACTAGCTAGGAATTGTAGCAGCGCCTTGGTAGCTCTGGGCTCTCCCAGAAGTCGTCCTTGCGGGTGTTCCTCTGCAGCAGTGGGCCTCATAACTCCATCCAGCTCCAGATCCTTGTAGAGCTTGTTCCGTTGATGTCGCCATTTTCGGCATTCAAAGAGAAGATGGTGTATTGTCACCCTTGATAGGCCACAATCTCTGCAGGTTGCATCTTCTTGGGCCTGGATCTGATGTAGATATGCTCCAACAGCTGCATGTCCTGACTTCAGTTGAAAATACCGGCTCGCTAGGTGTTTGGGAGCCACTGCGGCTGCAGAGTTGAGTCGCCAGTTCTTCTGTGGTCTATATGTTCGCTGACCTTGTTGGGATCGCTTGCTGAGCTCCTTGGCAAGCCATCTCTGCTTCTGTGCTGTAATGGCCTCTGTTCGGGCTCTACAGGTGAATGCCAGGGAGATCTCTCTTGGGCCTCTTCCTGGGGGTTTGTTGGCTGCCTGTTTTGCCACCTGATCA